TAATAACTCGGCATCCAATGATCGTAGAAAGATGCACCATAGCTCGTTGGAATCGTCTCATAACGACGAGTCGAATGGTGGTTAGATCGTCTTTCTACGATAACTAGATGCCGAGATATTTAACGAAACGTCAAAAATTGGCATTTTGTATTTTGCGATACTGCGCCGTTTGACGTTTCGCCTATTATCTCGGCATCCAGTGATCGTAAAAAAATGATTTAACCACCATTCGACTCGTCGTTATGAGACGATTCCAACGAGCTATGGTGCATCTTTCTACGATCATTGGATGCCGAGTTATTATGTGAAACGTCAAACGGCGCAGTATCGCAAAATACAAAATGCCAATTTTTGACGTTTCGTTAAATATCTCGGCATCTAGTGATCGTAGAAAGACGATCTAACCACCATTCGACTCGTCGTTATGAGACGATTCCAACGAGCTATGGCGCATCTTTCTACGATCATTGGATGCCGAGTTATTACGTGAAACGTAATATTTTTAGGTTTCGACAATTTCGACATGTCGAAACTATTTCGGCATTTCGGCATTTCGACAGGTTTTAGTTTCGACATTTCGACAATGGCCTGTAGAGTTTCGGCAGGCAACTTTACTTACGGGAAAGAATTGACGAATTAAATCGGCAACTCGATAATGCAAATGGCGAGTTGCGTGACCTACGGCTAGATGTTGGCCAATTACAATCGTATAACAATATACTTAGTCAGGAAAACGACGGCTTGCGTCACCGACATTCATCTGACCTTCAAGATATCGAATTTGAAGAGGATCAACGACCAACAAAGCGTAGGAAAGGAAAAAATCTTGTGCGCGATTCTGAAGATGAAATGGAAGTAGATGAAGAAGAAGCTAGGGTTCGTCCAAAATTCCTCTTTCAATGTATGCTTTTAACGCTCGCTAAACCGATATTTTGTTCAATTTAGGCCGAGATGAAGACGATTCTAAAAACTTTTTTAATTGAACTAGAATTAAAATACGATGAAAAGTTTACCAGTGAGTTAAATGATGAAATTCTTCAACAGGTTATACCTCAACTAATTGAAGCGATGAAGCCAAGGTATACTCCACGATACAGGCAAGTCAAGTCTTGGCTCTTCGCTTTACATAAATATCGCAGAGTGCGCTTGTTATATAAACAATGCGGCACTTTAAACAAAGATAATCGCTGTTTACATCGAAATAATCGGTTAAATGAGGTAAATAATTTCTTTATTATTTCAAAAAAAAAATCTCATCATTCGTTGAAACTTTAAATATAGAAAAAGGCACGTCGAGTTAAAGGCGCAAAATTGCTTTTCAACAAAAATGATGAAAAACTGAGAATTATGATCAAAAAGAACTTTTGAATGTTTTAAGTGACAACTGATATTACTCTCCAGAGTATTCTGAATCGGATGAAGAGCAACCAGATGGTAAAAGACATATCAATATTTATAATCTGTCTTGAAGATCTGAAGAGGTTCGATAACTTATTTGTCGCATTTTTTTATTTTTTATTTTTTATTTGTTTTACTTTTTTCGTAATAGGATTGATTTTTTTTCTAATAATAGTTAATAGATTTATTACGAAATGTATCAGACCAACACGCTTTCTTTCTTCAATCTGCACAATTGATACGAACGTGAAATTATGACGATGAGATATATAATATCGTCTCTTGTCATTCACGAGGTGCTCCAAATTGGACCTATGTGGAGTAGAATACGCTGGCTGATACCAACTTTTCTGAGCTGGAGACGCTGATTCAAATGATGGAGAATCTAATAATGGCGGAAGATGCGGAAGTGTCAGCGAAGATGGATGAAATAGTGGTAATAGAAGATTCAGAATCAACGGGAATGGAAGAATTGGAACTAACAGGAATGGAAAAATCAGAACTAACGGGAATGGAAGAATTGGAACTAACGGAAGTGAAAGAATCAGAACTAATAGGAGTGGAAGAATCGCTAGAAATGGAAGATGAAACAGACAAATGGTATAAATTTGTACTTTAATTTTTGTTTGAGTTTTTATTATACTAACTTTTTTTTCAAATTTTAGATTGTGAATTCGTCAGTTTTTTTTGAATTTTTTTTGAAAATTATGGGATTTTTTGTGGAATTGTGGATTGAATTTTTTTATTTTCGTATAAAATTTTTATTAATTTAGTATTATTTCATATTATTTTTGTATTATTTACGTATTATTTTTGTATTATTATTTTAGGAAATTTTTATTATTTTCGTATTATTTTAGTATTATTTTCATAGGAAATTTTTATTATTTTAGTATTATTTTCATATTATTTTCGTATTATTTTGTAGGAAATTTTTATTATTTTAGTATTATTTTCGTATTATTTTTGTATTATTTTAGTATTACAATTTAAAATTTTGCTAAAATGGACTATTTTAACCAGTGTTAACAAATATGAACTCTCATATTACTAATTTTTCAATTTTATTTTTTTTATGAATTTATAGTGGTAATATTTTCGAAGGAATACAAATCTTAAAAGATCTATCACACTTCATTCGATTTTATTTTTTAACTAGAGTATACAAACTTATATTCTATTTGTTTTTTAAGAGTGTGATGAAATTTCTTGAAATATTATTTCTGTATAGTATTCATTAATACTTGCGTGAGATGACTAAAAAATTTTTTTCTTTCTCTCAAAATTTAATTTTCTAATGGATTTCCTCTCAAGCAATCACTTATTTTTCTAGTCATAATATTAAGAGGTGATTCGCAAATGAATAGGAGAGTTAAGGAATATTTTGTTCATAAATTTTTTTTCAGAAAAGTCCGTATCCTGTGGAAAATCTGATTTTACAGTAAGTAAAGCATGAACAGTAGTCACACTGAAAAAATAGATAATATAAGAAAATCGTAAATACAAAAGCATTAAAAATAATTACTACATACAAACTAGGAATTTTTCATTTCTGGCTATTCTCTTGTTAAGTAACAATTTCCTCCCTAAAATTTTTTTTTCCGCTAGCCTGTTAGATTGATTGCACCTTCCATTCGGAGTATAACACTAATTATTCGATTTAAAAGTTCCAGGTTTAACTTTCATCCTGTCAGTACATAAAATCAAAATATTAGATGAGAGTAGTCATATGTGATGGAAATTTAAATTTATTTATTACCTTTAGTTAACGCATATGATTTTGAAAAGTAATTATGATTCTGTTAAATTTTTTCTCTCCATTCCTTCGTTCCTTTCTCTTTTTTTATATATAATTAGCCAACCTTATAATAATTTCATGCGAGAATCACAAATGTTCGCTGATATTAATTTTGCATCAACTCCATGTAGGATAGATAATATTTCTTCTATGTCCACTACAGAATGCGTTTCTCAAAATCTATGATAATGTTATTTTCAGTTCTAAGTCCTGTTAGTCAACGTAAAAAGAGAGTTACTGTTGTAGTGCTTCGACCCGTATCTGGATTTTTTTTTTGGATATCTGGATTACATCCGAATCGATCTGGATTGTAAATCCGTATTTCATAACCTGGATAGAAACCAGAATCTGAATAGGATTTTTTTAAAATGCGGATTAAAGAGATGCATAAAAGCTCATTTGAATCATCTCATTAAGATGGATCAAATGGCACTAATTTCATCTTTATACAATCACTGAATGCTGAGATATTCAACCAAATATCAAAATCAGCATTTTTTATTTTGCGATACTGCACCATTTCACGTTATACTGAATATCTCGGCAACCAGTGATCGTATAGGGATGCACAATAGCTCATTCGAATCGTTGCATCAAGACGAATCTAATGAGATTTAGATCATCTTTTTACGACCACTGGATATCGAGATATTCAACAAAACATCAAACATTAGCACTTCATTTTTGTGATAATGCGCCATTTACATTTTGCTAAATATCTCAGCATCTAGTGATCGTACAGAGATGCACAATAACTCATTAGAATCGTCTCATTGAAACGAATCGAATAGTAATAAATCCATCTTTCTACGATCACTTGATACTGAGATATTTGGAAAACCGTAAAATGGCACAGTACGCAAAATAAAAAATGCAGATTTTGATATTTTATCGTGTATCTTGACATTCAGTAGTCATAGAAAGATGCTCTAAAGCTCATTAGATTCGTCTTGATGAATGAGCTATTTTGCATCTCTATACGATTACTGGTTGTCGAGATATTCGACAAAACATAAAATGGCGCAATATCGTAATTTGCAATATATAAAATGCTGATTTTTGATGTTTTGTTGAATATCTTGGCATCTACTAGTGATTGTATAAGGATAAAATTAGCGCCATTCGATCTGTCTTAATGAGACAATTCTAATGAACTATTGTACATCTCTGTAGCTTGCAATTAAAAATAATACAATCCAGTTTTCAGTTTCTATCTGAATTATCTGATTCGGATTTAAAATCTGGATTGACCCAGATATAGTGCAGAACCTCTATACTCAATTACTTATGTATAGTAACAATTGATTGATTATAAATTCCTAAAAAAAAATTTTTTTATATTAAAGTAAAAAATTTAACCGATAATTTTTATAGATATGACCATTAGCTTTAAAAATTATCAGTTATTTTTTTTTTAAATTAAATTTTGGCTGAGTTTTAGCTGTTTAAAAATCTGTAATTTAAATATATTAATTAAATTTAGTCAAAATTAAGACTAGTTTAAATTTTTGTATTATAGGTTTTTTTAACCACATTTAATATACAGATTTTTTTTTTAATATGTCAAGAAGAAAAAAAATTTTAAAACTGCAAAAAAAGATTTAATGAATAAGGTTGTTTAAATATAAGTCAATTTAATGTTATAGATGATAATTATATACCATCAAGTGAATATTTAAAAGACAGTTCAGATGAATTTATAAATGAAAAAATTTAAAAACTAAGTAATTTTACTTTAATTTGGTCAAAAAATACATATAATAAAATACAAAT